CTGATAAACGCGCGCCGTTACAGTTACAGTAGCAATCTGTGAGGAATAGTGGGCCCTGTCAGCGGTGTTGCGAAGTTTCCTCCTTGATTGAACGCCCTGTATTAATTTTCCTGATGAGTCCCGTTTTCAACAGCAGTAACTTCACATATTCGTTGTAGAAATATCAGCCTTTGTTGCCTCTTCACTCACGCTGCTTTGGGACAAACCAAATGTTAAGGCCATACAAATGTACGACGGAGGTTCACAGAGTCCCGGCACTGAGGAGGGGGGGAGATATGCTTCGTACTGCCGCAGCAGAGCTCATTTTCAGGACTCCCCAGTAGCGATATAATGCAGAGTCAAGTGTAAATGTATCTTCTTGGAAATTCGGAAAGGCCTTTGATACTAGAAGATTGAATCGTAATGAATTACTGATCAGTGTGAATATCTGATTGCAGCGCCATCACCGACACCCAGACCTAATGATGAGTCTGTCCGTCCCGTCGTCATCTGGTCAAGCATATCGGTAGTAGCTGTCATACTGGTGCTTATATTTCTGAAGACTACGTACACGTGTGGTGAGAGCATATTTAACTATAAAGTCCATTATCGTAAAAACCTTGGCAAGGGAAACCGAAGTACTCGGAGAAAACCTGCCCCAGCGCCACTTTGTCAACCACAAATTCCACATGTCCGAACCCGGGTCGCCGCGGTGGGAAGCCAGCGACTAACCTCCTGAGCTATGACGCGGCTTCCGGTATAGATGTGTGAATGTGTTTCAGGATCTTTCCTACGGGAGCCATCAGACACGAGACACGCAGACGCACCTACCCAATGGCAGCGTATACATCAGCCATGGCCGAGGAGTCCGACCCTTCAGAAAGTATTGCTGCTGTATTCCAGGGACTGCCCACAGTTCTGTGAGGTCGCTCGGGCGCTGGGACAACTGCTCCAGAGTTTCGGGAACTTGAAGGTAACTTGACCTCCAGGAGGTTGGAGAAAACTGCAGAGTGAGGAGCTTCATAACTTGTACTCCTCTACAAGTGTAATTAGAATAAACAAGTCCAGGAGGATGAGGTGAGCAGGGCATATAGCACGAATTGGGGAGAAAAGGAATGCATATAGGATATTGGAAAGAGACCACTGCGAAGACCAAGGCGTATGTGGGTGGACAATATTAAAATGAATCTTAGAGAGATAGGATGGGATGGATTGGATTGATCTGGCTTGGGATAGGGACCAGAACCTTCTGGTTCCATAAATTGCTGGGAAGTTCTTGAGTAGCTGCACAACTGGCGGCTCAGCTCCATATAGTCAGTCAGTCAGTCCTAACCGGGATCGAAACCAAGAATGACGCTGCTGGTTGGAAGGCAAAATATTGCTCTGTCCTGTTATACCCACAGTTCAGACACGAACCGATATTTCGGTAACAAAACCACACACATGAATTCGCGTATTTCTGTGTCTAAAAATCAGTACCGAAAATCAATATAATTTTACGAGTATAACAAATTGTAAATAACAGTCCACAAGAGGAAAACAACGAAGCAGCACATAAGTGACCACACGAATGACATGCAGGAAGCGGGGGAGTCCATATTAATATTAATTTAGATTTTACTACTGTTTTAATGGATTTTAAGCCACGTTTGATAATTTAAATTATAATCATATTGACAGCTACCTCGAGCATGTACAATTTACCAACTTAATTTAATTTATGTGCCGCGCCATAGCTCAAGCGGTTAGTCGCTGGCTTCCAACCGCGGCGGCCCGGGTTCGATCCCAGGTCTGGTCAAGTGGGATTTGTGGTGGACAAAGTGGCGCTGGGGCAGGTTTTCTCTGAGTACTCCGGTTTCCCCTGCCAATCTTCATTCCACCAATTGCTCCACAATCACCCTCACCTATCATCTGGGGCTGGTACAATAGGCTAGAAGTGGCCGCAGTACAAGGGACCCCACTAGCAATAATAATAATAATAATAATAATAATAATAACAATTTATTCGTTCATGATGATAGACACCTGTTGTATAGTGACAATGCGAACAAGTAAACAATAACCACGAAATTTGGAACGTCACAAAACGTGCTCCCTCATGAAACACGGAAATGTGTTTAAGGCGTAGTCAGCAGGTTAATGCAATGCAGACTTGTAAAGGCAGATGACGGGTTTGCACCGGAAATATGAAACAGCACTGGGAAAATGCTTCGTAAGCTTTTTATTATGCATTGTTTAATATTCCTATTTGTAGTCAGATGTGAACTCTTCTTCTGGTTCCATTATGCACTAATAAAATTCCACAGTACGCTATAGCGTCTGATGAAAGTCAAGACTTGAATCTTCTTTTGTTCATAAGATTTGAGGCTTTCACGGCGGTGGCTATGAAGAAAGCAGTCTTCTGGGATTTGGTACCGTGTATACGTGGTGTTAACCGACGTTTCGGAGGAACGTATCGCCTCCATCTTCAGGGTAGAAGGTTCTCACGGTCTCTTCGCTTGCGGATTTCTTATATTTTTTCTTCTACCCTGAAGATGAAGGCGATACGTTCCTCCGAAACGTCGGTTAACACCACATATACACTGTGCCAATTCCCAGAAGACTGCTTTCTTCTTTTGTTTGGTTGCTTCTTCCTTTGTATATTGTACTTGGAAGTTATTGGAGACATAATTTGTTCGCCATCCAAGGATGGTCTCCAGAAACAGTCACAATTATATTATTTTCATTTCCTTCAAAATCCTTTCCAATTCATCGTTCAGCAATCATTCTAAAATTCGATACTATGTAGCCCCATTCTTACAGCGCTGTAAAATAAACTCCACCATGAGAGAACCCGCCAAAATCACAGTGCCGCCTATCTTCTATCCCCATAAAAACTATTTCAGGTTTTGTTCGGTAGTTGCACATTCGTGGCTCTACAGGCCCACTTATATCGCTTTTCTCCACTCCGTTGCGCAGATACAACTGTCGTACTCTTGAATTATCAAATGGCATTCCATAGCGCGCGGCAGGAACACGAGAAGTTGGAATTTGGATTCAGATTTTGCGGGAAACATAATGGCGAGGGAAAGAGACTGCACACCTGCTCGGTGTGGAAACAGAAAATTATGGCGTTAGTCTCTCGTTTCAGTCGCTCACTGTGATGGAGACACGATGAAGGTATTTCAGAAAGAAATTCTGAGGACAGTAACCGGAGGTAAGGGGGAGATTCATAAGGAAATAAACTGTTAATATGAAGAGGAGGTATATTTTACTATTTGTAAAGTTATTTAACTACTCTTTCAATATCGAAAATACATACAGACGAAGAAAATATTGTTGAAGAGTGATTAAACTAAGAAAAATGTGAAGGAAAACCTTTAACATACATGGAAGAGGTATTGAGAGCATGTAGAGTTAATCTTATGAGAAGTAGCTTAAGCCCAGGATAGTATTAACTGGAAAGCAAGAGAACTGGACTGAACTGAATTAGCCCAAAATACGTTCCCACACCAGGAAGTGAGTCCCTTACTTCATTGATCAGATAAAGAGCAGGGAGGGTACAAATATGACGCGAATACATCCACAGATGTATAGAAACTGCTCTTCCCAGTGCATCTTGCCTTCATCTTCGTCCTCATGACTTCACTCGAGACGAACTTGAGCTCAGTGTTAAGTTACTAGCCGGTTCGATTCTGGTTGACCGCAGGATGTGCTGGAATGTCGCACAAACCTCGAAACAAGGTTTGCTGCTGGGTCGCTGTACCACTGTGTAATGTTACCCCCTCCGATAACCACTCAATCCGGTACAGTTGCGTATTTATTAATTTCCGCCCGACATTATTCAACGGGTTCACTTTGAAGCTGTTAGTAGCATAGGCGTACTTGGGCAATTTCGCTCAGGTTATGCAGACTGTATGTAATTTTAATTTGTTAATTTCCATTAAGATGACAGAGGGCGTCTGCATCTGCTTCACTCCAGACGTTACCAAAAATTCCCGTGGCCTTTCAAAATCTGTAGCTACCGGACATACAGTTTTCCTTACATGAAATTGCACACAAAAGTAGATCACCTGTTTTTCTTAAAAGAATTAAAACGATTTTCCTTTCTACGGAGTGGTCTCTCGGTGCTCTGGGTCAGGTTCTGCGTTTAGAAGTCTCGTGTTCCAACTCGTGCCTCAGCCCACTTCTTCCTAGAAACTCGCCCTTCCCTGAGAGGAAATTGAAAAAGAAAATGTTGTAGCCGAAGAGTTTTATCTTCTGGGATATAACGCCTTGTCCGAGAGAAGCCAACCGATGTTTCGGAGGGATTCGCTGCCTCCATGAAACTAGGTTTCTTGCTTGGCTTTACACCTAACTCTGAAAATGGCGGCGATATATGCCTCCGAAACGCCCTATGGAAGTCAACCGATATTTTGGAGGGATTTATTGCCTGCATGAAACTTCTGGTTTCTTACTTGGCTTAGGCTTTAACCGTAATATGGAGGCTACATGTTCCTCCGAAACGTCTGTAGACTTTCAGCTGACTACAAAGCGTTATGTCCCAGATGATGGTACTCTTCATAACCACCACTCTGAGAACCTCAGATCCTACATGAAATATTCTGAGTACTGTTACGTGTTCTATTTACATTTATCTGTTTAACATAAATTGTGACTTCTCTAACTACTGACCTTAAACGTAAAATATCTTTGTCGGCCCTTCAGACGCCTAGAGACATTAATCAATATTTACATCCTATTAGTAATGAAGTAAATACAGGAGAAGGCGAAACAGGAATTATGTCTACAGTACTTTCTCAACCTGACGATGAACCCAGCATATTCCTCCTAAACGTCGGTATCCGCCTACAAGACTACACAGTGTCACAGGCACCGAAAACCAGACTTTGAACAATCGCCATCTTGAAGACTTCAAAACGTACACAATTCTCTGTGACAGTACAAGGCATGGAGATAGTCCCTGTGCTTATACTCGTATACCGAGGCAGCTTACACCTTTATGCAAATTGATAGAATTACAATTTTTGTGCCTCAACGAATTAGTATTTATAGTTTTCCTTTTGTGTATTCTATTACGCACCAGAAATCAGCGAGAATTTCCCATGGCAGTCCAATCTACACCCATCCAACTGGTGTGAATACAATAATCTTCCCTCATTTCCACACAAGTCTACTTACTGTGCTCTTAGTCAAGCATGCGCACACACAGCACAAAGGGTGGTAGCGGGGAGATAAGTAACCCCCGGTATTGTTCTCCAGGTGCTGGATCCACTGCAGCAAAATGAAATGGAGCAAGTGTCAGAGAATATTTCGGGCTGGCTGACGCAACATTTGCAGAGTCCAGACGTGAAGCTGGTAATTGTGGTCTCTGAGGGGGCCATGGTAAGGCAGAATGCCCTGCTGAACAACCAACTTGTTCACAATGATGAGCCCCACTTTCTGGACCCTGTGTTCACACTGGCACTACAGCAGATGCATGAGAGACCGCAGCTGGGAAACGATTACAAGAGGATATTTCCTGTCAGGTAGACTTTTGTTCCTTCGGTCGGTTCTTTCACGACGGCATGCACTATAATTATGCAGAATTATTTATTTATTCGTATATTTATTTACATATTCCTCCTTTCACCAACACACGACCTGCACATGTATTCATACTTTGGTTCATTTTTCTTTAATGTTTTGTCTTAGCATCCTATTGCAGTTGGTATTGGAATTTATTTTACAGTTTTGTTTGCCATCAACCATGCAAAAATATCAAATTTTAAAATTAAATTATTTTCAACATTCGTCACTGCACTACATGTTTCGGCCTACCCGGACATAATCAGGAGCTTTGAAATTGGGGGGAAGTGCTGTGTCTTCCGCGCTACTGCGGTCCGTGCTTTTTCAAGATGAAGGCGAGGGGAAAATGTCCCTCCACGAGGAAATTCGCTCCTGAATTGAGAGACGAAATAAATTAAACCGGTTTCTTATCATTTAATATTCAAAATTTTGAAGAGACTGGTTTCTGGTATGGGAAACTAAATGACCGACAGGAACTTCTCATGGAAAGGCGGGACATTTTGGCTGTTCTAATTGAGTTCGTTGGAGGCAGTTAATAGTTATAGAATTTCTGCTTAAACAGTACATTGGTTATGAATGAATGTATAAGGGGTGGGCCTTCTCAGCCCTTGCAACGCGACCTACAATGATCTGTTGTGCTTCCCCTTTTGATTATCCCCTCAGCAATCCTGCACTTCATTCGAATGAATGTAATACAATCGAACTCATACGGGCTGAAATGACTGAGACGTCAGTCAGCTCGACACTTTCAGGCTGTTCGATACCGAGAGATCACTGAGCAAGGCAATCGAAAGGAGGACCGAATTTCACGCGTACGGTATACAGGATAAAGGCAGGAAGAAGTTAACCGCTCGGGAAAGTCACACAAAGGAAATGATGAGTCAGGAATGAGTGGCGGTTGAGCTATTATGATTGGGGTTTATGTTTCTCAAGAGTGACCGTAGTTTTCACAGCGTACGGAAGAGAAATAATGAAAGGCCCTATATTTGTTCGTTACATTGTTTGGTTAATGTTGCATGCTGTTCAGCATGGTGCTCGCCATTGCTCGCCATCCTCTGTCACCGGCCTGCTAGCTCTGGCAATTCTGGTATTCTCCACAACTGGTATGTCTCCACATGCGTCCCATAGGGCCACTTTTCTCTTAGAAATTGTGGCATTTTTATTTTCCTTAGGCGTGACCAATCTTTTCTCTCTTTATATTCTGATAGGCTGTTTTAAAATATATAAATATAATTACCGTACCCTTTCCAACTTCCCAATGTTTCTTCATTAACCATCTCAATATAAACGTCAATTATGCTCTTGTACTTTTCTACAAAATGGGTATTGTGCTTCCCAGAAATAAGCCTTTCTTATGTAACTCCCTGTATTTTTTAGTTTGAATTATTTCGTAAATATTGTAACAGTAAAAAGTGTTACTCCTGTATAAATATGGCAGAATTACTTGTCTCCTTCCTTATATGAGGGTTCAAATGAAACCCGTTCACAGCGCTCCTATGTGAATATTTTATAATTTTGTAAAATCATTAGGCGGCATAAATTTGTCATTCCAAGGTTAAATAATCAACCCTGTAATTCTACAGGTTTGAAGACTTCACGCCAAGCGAGGTTTCTTTATCTCTGATCGTTCCACTGAAGTGCTATGTTCTGCAGAGACATCTGGGAAAACTCATAGCGGAGCTTGGACAGTAAGTTTGCATGGCAAAGTCAGCAACAAAGTCATTATCTGACAACAGGCAAAATATTATGACAGAGGTGAAATAATCCTGGAAATGATGAATCTTTCTCAGTTTAGACCAGAGAACTGTATAAAAACGTTAAAATCAAGATTACATGACGAAATTATTCTGTCCACTTTCTTAATAAAGTTTAGGCATTATATGCGGGCTCCTAGACAGAGATCACGAATCGAACAAATATGAAAACACAGCTAAGTAAAAATATTTTAAACTGTCAGAAATGAAAGTACAAGTAATTTATTCTCAGAATATTGGTGTCATCAGGGCTGTAGTCGCGCGAGGGAGGTCCGAATGGAGCCCTTGTCTTTTTCTGAATGCCAGCTGCCACCCTGGCACTTGTTTTAATGACACTGATTACAGTGCACACAGCCACAAGAGAAGGACACATCACAAGACACAGTATACACAAAATATAGGAAGATTGATATAATACGCGAGTTTGAAATACGACGTATAAGATGATATATCTTAACAAATTTTAATATATACATTTTATTATAGTACATGACGAACATACATTTTAAATCATTTTATAGACGACACATGATGGCGAGCAGTGCAATAGTTTAACGTAAATAACACACCTGAGGATGGCACAGTGATGCCGAAACATGTAGTGAAGTGACATGTGAGATTGTGTGCACTAGAAGACCGTCAATACATACACATCATGGACGTCTATGATCTGGGTTTTCATTTTCAGAGTACCATCAGTACTCATGTACAGCTTCGTTTACAGTCAGTGAGAGGCAGTGAGGAGTTCTTGCACAATATGTTAGGGCAATACAGTTAATTATAAACTTCTGTTGGTTCCAGATGCAACTCAGCAGCAGAAGCTGGTTATGAAGACATCCGACGCATATGCCCACAGGAAGTGAGCCAGCTGGAATCGGCCATAAGAGACATGAAGTCATATTGTGATGACAATCCACACTACCTTAAGGATCATTTCTCGGTGGTTTCCCGTTAAATTAAATGAGACAAGAATATGTGTGCAAGATAGAACCTATGAGCATGATTCTCAGCTACAAACTCTGTTCTTGGAGTTCACAGATCAGGAATCATTTCATAAAATACAACTTCTGTGACTGTTGCAATCTGTTTGGACACAAAGTTGAGTGAAACGTCTGCAATAAAATTGAGCTGTAAATTAGGCTGATTCTTATGTGTGATGAGAGTTGAAGAAGGCGGTGAGTTCCAGGCTCCTCCATTTTTCCACTTTAAAAAATTATTGTACAGGAGATCTCCACACTGCTGTTAAACGCAAGAACTCTCAGCCTTGCTTTCCCGTGTCGAAAGCAAGTTTTCTTACTTCATTATTTGCTTTTCTTTCAGTTCTGATAAGATTATGAATACTTTCCAGGGCGCATTAATTTAAAAAATAAAACAAGTTTGGCTGCACTGTCCTTGCACGCATATTGATTTGATTTCTTACAGTGGTCAAGATGAAAGTTTTCGTTTCTCTGGATTATGGCTTTATGCAATGTTGCAGATACTGCCATTAACTTCATGAAGCTGAAGCCGCCAGTTGGTGCAGCAATTTATGGAAGCTCAAGGTTAATTACCGTGTTCACAGGAGCCCTCCACTGGTTCCTGCCCTGAGCCAGATCAGTCCAGTCCATACTACCCCAACCTATCTCTCTTAACATTTATTTTAATGTTATTCAGCCACTTACGTCTTGGCCTTCCTACTGATCTCTTTCCGTCTGGCTTTCCCACCAATATCCTACATACATTCCGCTTCATCCCAATTCCTGCTACATGTCCTGCCCATCCATCGTCCTTGACTTAATCTTTCTATTTATATCTGGCGGAGAGTACAAGTTATGAAGCTCCTCATTAATGTAGTTTTCTCCAACGTCCCGTCACTTCATTTCTCTTCCGTCCAAATATTCTTCACACCACCCTGTTCTCAAACACCCTCAGTCTGTGTTCCTCCCCTAATGTCAGAGACGAAGTTTCACACCCATACAGAACCAGATGCAAAATTATACTTCTTGTATATTCTATTTTTATATTTCTAGATATCAGACAAGAAAACAGAAGGTTCTGGACTGTGTGGTAGAATTATATAATCTGAAATATATATAAATATATTCTGAGACAGTAGATTTAGAACGAGGCAGTATGTTCCTTTCATTTGTTGATAGTCATCTACAAAACTACACAACGTTGTAACTTAAAGAATATTACAATATTGGCAACTAGAATTGTCAAAAGATGGCACTACTACTACTTGTGTATATACCTCAAGACATCTTTGTTTCCTCTCGTTCCCAGCATGGGAAGCGTTAGCACACTGCTGAATATTTATGCAAAGACAGGTGACTAAGTTGTATACTATTCAAATTATTACCGAAGTTTGAATAGGCAGGAGACATTCTGCATGGAATTTACGTTTGTGATATTGTAAATCACTACAATTACTCGTAATCCGGAATATTTACTGGGTATGCGTCACATATTAGTAGGAAACTCGATATATAGGGACAGTGAGCAAGTATGGGGAAATTTAAGCATTTGCTCACGTCACGGTATGTGACCTTGGGAAATTACTTTTTTCGGTTTGTAATTTGATTAGTGGGCGACTGGTTTGCAGCAGCAATATTATCCGGCGGCAGGGACGGCGAAGCTGAAGAACAGCAAAATTTAAGGCGAGTCCCGATGAGGTCATGGGATTTTTTTTTCAATTGCCCTAATCCTTCCAGCCTCACTATGACCCTGGGGTCGACTCAGCCTCTAACAGAAATGAGTACCGGGAATCTTCTTGGGGGTAAATGGCGGCCGGCGCGTAAGACTGACAACTTCACCGTCATCTGTTAGCCGATTGTCTAGAAAATGTGGGAACCTCAACGTCTCACAACCCTATGGGCCTCCACGGCCTGTTACAGGGATACTTTTACTTATTTTTTACTTTTACGACAAGCAGCAGTCTTCGAGAATGTCTTCTTGTATACATTTCGTGTGTAACATAGGAAAAAACCAGAATTATATCATTTCCCCAAACATTTGAGTCGGAATGAGATGTTGGCTTACGGCTGAACATATTTGAACTGGACAGAGCTAGTTCGCATATGGTCACTTCTCACGCAACGCGGACGTGGGAAAATTTATACCTGTAATATGGTTAATATAGTAGCATTTGTTGGGGTGTGCGCAGACAGTGTGAAACTGCTTCGTTATGTGTAATCTTTTGCGTGATACCGTACAAACTCCATATATTACTTTATGGGCACTTTTGAAGCGTTTCAGAAATGTTCTTAAAAATAATTTTGCCTAAAAAGTAAAAATTGTGTTTATATTTGTGTATCAAAGGAAACATACCAAAATGCAATTCTTACAGGACCCGAGCCGAAGAGATGGCGGTAATGTGAATGACGTAAGACGGACAGGATAGCGCAGTCGGTGTAGCGGCTGGCTACGGGCTGGACGATCGAGGGGTCGGAGTTCGAGTACCAGTAGTGTTAACAATTTTCTCTTCTCCACATCGTCCAGACCGGCTCTGAGGCCCACCCAGACTTCTATCCTATGGGTACTGGGGGCCCTTCCCCCAGGGTGAAGTGACACTGACTATATTACCAATGAACATTTTTAAACACTTAATTACATGCTTCAGAGTTAGTACTAGTAAAACAAACTCCGTGGCCTGTAGTCCGCAAGCGAACTACACCGACCGAGGGACCGCTGCTTGTCGGTCAAGTTAGTGCCAACTTTTTCGGATAGAGGGTGTCGCGTGAACAGCGCAATGAATCCCCACGGCTGTTAATTTCGGTTTTCTAGACCGGAGCCGCTATTTCCTGGAAGCTGCTCCTCAATTATCCTCACCCAGAAAATCTGGTAGCGCCGGGAATCGAACCCGGGATCTCTGGATCTGTAACCAGGAACTCTGACCTCTGAAAATAGTCGATGTGATCACAAGATGATATGGGCCTACCTTCCTGCACGTGCCTAAACGTCTGATCCGTCGTCTAAGAGGACGAACCAAAGTGGAGAACGCCAGGGGTTCCATGCGAAGACAACACTGGTCAGCTGAGGGAATTAGCTACAGAGAAGCCAGTGTTACCATTCCCTTCGACTCTGGAGATGTTGGCAAGATGTTCCTCTGAAACGTCGGTGTCACAACCCTGAAGACCATAGCCAAATCGCTGGTTTTTTATTTGTTATAAATATGACTAGCTATAGACTAGAGTCGCCTCTACCACCAGAAAATCACGTCAACACGTAGCGGTCACAAAGTTTAAAAAAATATTATCGCAAAATATTTCATTTCCATTTTAGTACAATTTTAATTTTTATGTTTGAGTCTCCAATTTTTTTAAATTTTATTATATGAGTATTTTAAAATTTTAACTGAAAGTCAATTTATGCATTTAAAAACAGTCGTGTGCACACTAAAGATCTTTATTGAAGAATCAGATGGTTAGATGCAATTCAGTAACAGCGTGGTATCATTGTACACCTGATGATGATCCAGTATAAGGGTCGAAACCTGTAGCGGCAATAAAAACAAATGTTGATACGACAGTGTTTAATTTTTTGTTTTAAATAGAGGACATTATTGTGTAGACTGCGTGCTTTTGTATACATTTTATGTACCTAAGACTAGCTACTGCGCTTTTCAAAGCCTGACGTGTGTACTTCAAAAATAAGTTCTTCTGCGGAACAGAAATATATTTATTTTTATATTTCCCCTTTGCTTAGCTTTTACGAACATAAGCCTACTGATTCCCAACAGCAGCACTGAGGATATCAAAATGTGTCTATTATTACTCGCATTAGCACTCATGCCCGTTTCACGGGGCGTATGTCATTTCTACAACTGGGCGACAGAATATTTCCTGGCAACTGGGCATTTTTTAACTTAACTATTGGCAGCACTCAATCTATATTTGTCTGTAGCATGGGTGTTTAAATTGATGACATATAGATATAGATTTAAATTCTCCTGCTAAACAGTGTAAAAATGTAGCATAATTAATTATACTGCATCACTATGAGAACACATATATATTAGTTACATTTCCACAGGCTTCACCCACGAGTTTTTGTAGGGATATTTCTCCAAATGTTGAGTCTAAATTTCCCCTAATGTAAGAAAATGGACGTACTGATCGCGTACTTTTATTAAGTCAGGTTTTCTTCCATTTGTCCTTAAACTGACAACAAATTGAACGTGAAATGCTGCTTGTGTTCTTAAATCCTGTTAAAATTAATTTATTAATTTTTCTGAGTTCTAACCAAGCGCAAAAAAATGTCTCCTCTCTTCATGTGTTGAAATTAAAATTTTAAATTAATAGAGCAGATCACGGATTTAAGTTCAGTGCATTTCAGAACAGGAAGCGCAGCTAAATGTATGCAGACATCAACTCACATACTGTGTTGTTGTCTGCTGTTCCAGTCAAATTCATTTTTCTTGAAACAGTATTCCGATAATCGGCATTACTTTTGTGATAGCTTTATCAGGGAGATTTATGTATTTCCCGCAAGTGACTATTTACATTGAATTACAACCTGTCCATATTATTCGATTCTATTACAGCGCGAGAAGTTACAAAAATTAATTTTACCTTTATCAGCAACAACGCGTCAAATTGCTGATTACTATAATAAAATTCTCCATTTCATTTCGAGGACAAATTTTGCTGATTCCTCTGTAATTCGAAATAAGAAATGCGATGCTGTGCAGCATATATGCTCTGCTTAAATCAGCAGCTACCGCTCAGAATCTGACATTAGCAGATACCTGCATTTTGCAGAGCATTCATTTCAGTTTCAGTACTTAGATCGGTAATGTTATTTCGCTACAAATGCAAATCATGATTGAAAACTGTGAAATAAATGCCTAGTCACAACGACAGTGATGTCAGACATCAAGCTGTTATTAAAACGAATACAGGTTTCTCACCCCAGTTTAAATTTTGAATATCTGCTAATTAGTAGAATTTTTTCCCCCTTGGCAGTACAGCCACAGTGGGCCTAGGCCTACCTCCATGAACTTCTCCGTTCACTTCGGTTTTTCTAGATCTTACACATTCGGTAGGACTCCTTGGGCGGGTGATCAGCTCGTCGCAAGGCCTCTACCTGTACACAAACACAGAAGAACGCACACACACAAACTAAACATACATGCCGTGAGCGGGATTCGAACCCACGATCCCGGTTTCCAAGCAAGCAAAGACAGTACATGCCAATTAGTAGAATACCTACATAAAAAAATGAAAATCTGGGAACTTCGTAACAATGACCATCTTGAAGAGTACTATATAATGACGTGTATTTCGTTGAAAGTCAACGGATATTTCGGGGGAGCATCACTTCCATTTTCAGGGATAAAGCATAAGCCGAACATGAGTGTGAAAGCATGGGGCGTGCCTAGTCTAAACATACTACAACAAGTTTGTTTACTGGTCTGCATTATTGTGTTTTCCTCCTGTGCTTGCCTGTAATTTGTCTTTGACTTGATGTAGTGTTTGTCCATAATGTAATTACTTGTGTCTACCCTGTGCTCTCTCTGTAATTGGCCTGCGGCTGTTGACTCGGCTCATAATAATAAATAATATAGAATTGAATTGAATTATAATTATTAGCATTATTATTCGTTCTTTGAGAACAGATTTTGCCTACTTTACGCTTGTCGAACATAACCTCAAAGACTGATTTAATCACTATGCGTAATTGTTGATTGAAGAATAATGTGTCATGCAGAAGATGGAGGTATGTTTATGGTCCACCTTCGTATCACCACACCTAGCGCCCGCTCGTCAGTTGTTATCGCTTTGAAACCGAAAGGGAAATGTGGCTTTCTTGTAGCTACTGTTCTGCGTTCTGTTCAAAAGAAAGCACGTATTCTGTGAGGCAGGAGCTGAATGTTTCTCTGTCGTTTTAATCAGGATGAACAGGGGAAGTCTGGAAATCTTTTAAGTGAACGATGCTTTCTCTCCCCGCTGTGAAGTGTCTGCCGCTACTCTCTCGCCTTCAGGCTTTAGAGGACCGAGTTTCACTTCCACCTCTCAAGTCTGTGCGTCCGCTGCATGGGTACTGCCGACTCTAACTAACTCCATGGACCTGAGCCCTTCTTGAGAAGCCACCAATCGCTCAGCTACTTAAGAATATCGCAGTATTTTTCTACCGCGAAAGTTCATTACCGTGCTCACAAGAGCCCGCACTGATCCCTATCCTGAGCCAGATCAATCCAGCCCATACCACCCCATCATATTGTAATATATGCACCTCTTAACATACATATATATTACTTTAAACATTATGTATATGATTTTGTCTGACTGTACAGACAGGAAGTTATAATTACAATAAGCTGGTTGAGACAAATACGCATGATGCAACACTTGTTTGTCGGCTAGAGAACAAGGAACTGCTATGAGCATGAACTCCACGTGTAATCATAGCATGTCACTGCCAGCCAACGCCCATCCTAGCCTCTTTAAAAGACCATGTTTTGGGGTGCGGATCGGACTTCATAGATTTCAGTTCATACACTGCACTTAGTCTCTGTGCACCGTCATAGGGACTTCATAAACTTCTATTCAGGCAATATTCTTGATCTCTGTACAACATTTGTATCAACATCATTTATATTAAATATATTCACTGTATCGTACTGCGAGTTCGGCTTGGATTTCAATCCTTAAGTGTCCGACGTACTACGAGGAACAGTCTCCCGCTCGGCTAACCTCTCGTATCCCATCACCATCATAGGGATACAACAATATCTCTCTAAGACCCATTTTAATATTATCCCCCACCTACGTCAAAGTGTTCCTACTGGTCTCCTCCCTTCTGGTACTCCTACTAAATTCCGGTATGAATTCCTCTCCTCCTCACTGCAGTTTCTAGGAATTTGAAAAGTACTTCTTTGAGGTTTCAGCTGGCATAGCGCACTCGGTATAGCGACTGGCTACGGGCGGGACGACCGAGGGGTCGAAGTTCGAGTCCCGGCAGGGTCAAGAATTTTCTCTTCTCCACGTCGTCCAGACCGACTTTGAGGCCCACACAGACTCCTCTCCAATGGGTACCGGGGGCTCTTCGCGGGGGTAAAGTAGCAGGTGTGTGAAAATGATCACTCACCTCCAACTAGTGCCGAGGTCAAGAAAACATGGATCTATACATCCACTCCCCCATACGCCTTAATGGCATAGTGTTTCATTAGTTAAGCACAGGGACAGCTTTAGCGTTTACCTTATTTCTTTGGGGTAGGGTGCAAAGTCATTACGTCCAAATCGGTCAATTGGTTCAAATGTTGAAAGGAACACAAACACCCAGAACGTGGGGATCTCAGATAAACCTGCTTTCCTTCCTGAAGAAATAAAAGTGCCCTAAAATGAGAGTGATTGTGTTGGAGATCATTTATGTCTCTCCCCAATTCATAAAAAAAATTAGTCTGACATTAACGTTGTAACCCAGAGCCTAAACGCATAATATCAGAAAAAATTTGTGAGACATTAAGCAGAGAATCTCCATGGTTGTTAGCGATTTAATGTTTTACAAAGGCCGCGCCATAGCTCAAGCGGCTAGTCGCTGGCTTCCCACCGCGGCGGCCCGGGGTCGATCCCGGGGCTGGGCAAGTGGGATTTGTGGTGGACAAAGTGGCGCTGAGGCAGGTTTTCTACGAGTACTTCGGTTTCCCCTGCCAATCTTCATTCCACCAATTGCTCCACAATCACCCTCACCTATCATCTGGGGCTGGTACAATAGGCCAGAAGTGGCAGTAGTACAAGGGACTTAGTCCCACCCCACTAGCAATAAAAAAATAGTTTTACAAATGATTGCCCCAAAACTCTGTCGTTGACACCGCCCTCGGTCTTTGGCTGCACTAAATAACAGTTACAATAAGGCACCGTGACGTAATTAGTAATATATTGCACTCAGTTATGAGTTATTCGTATTTAAAGGTCCACGGATTAGTCAAGGTGAAAGCGATATCGTAACAGAAAACTGCCGTTAGTCACAGACTCACTCCTGGCATCAGCTGTTTTCAATGTCGTGAACTTCATTGCCGTCCATGGGCAAGGCGAAATGAGGTCTTTCCACGCATGCGTTGTGGGGGAGGGGTACGGCGGGGTGGGTTACGAAGCTGTGGGGATATTTGACGCTGCTAACAATTCACTCGCAATGCAGACAGTTGCTCAGTGGTATTACGGTGCAGTTGATGTGAACTTGCATTGACACGAACATAGTTATAAATTGATTTTGTAATGTATACTCCTTTAGAAATAATAGGTTTAATTAGTCTGTGTATTCTGGGCTTCTTGATAGCCCGAAGAATTATACGATTACTTTATAATAACGTGATAGGGCGACTTATGAGGACGAATGTGAATTTGAAAGAAATGGGACGTTGGGCAGGTAAGTTTCTTGTAATTAAAATATTCATATTACAAAATAATTAGGCTTAAACAGCTTCCCTAGGAAGCTAACCTAAGCTCCCTAAAGAAATATGACGTTAGAAACAATATTATAGATTACAGCTAACAACCACTCAGGCAAAAATATATTCTAAAGGTTTGTTGCTGTGTTCACAAGAGTCCATCATGGGCCCTGTTTGTTTAGTCCACAGCCACTCACCCAATATTTTAATATTTATTTATTTGTATCCATGAATCTGGGTTTAGATCTTAGAAATTATGTCTCCCCTTGAGACAAAAAGTGTAAATTTCTTCCTGTACTTAATTAAGCACTAAGCCATGGAGGTGTGTGGGGGAGTGGATATACAGATCTACCATTCTTGACCTCAGCACTAATTGGAATTGAGTCCCAAACAAAATATTGTATGCACAGTAAAAAATGTTACAGAAACAGAGACTTTGTGTGCAAAAGTGACCATTTTTACGTTGTGGTCATCTGGATTATAACAATGTGTTCAAGGCTGTAGGTGGGTACCAGCATTTTGTCGGAATATACTGACCTTCTTGAGGTACTTACCAGAACACTACACTAGTGCTATACAGAGCTGAGCTGTCCCAGGTCTCATTAGACTATAGCTGTGAAAGCAATTTACTGATTATTGAAGCAGAAGTGGTAAATATTAGTTTGATGATGATGATGATGATGATAGTGGTAGTAATTTTTTCTTTTTTTTTCCCCCTTGGCACTACAGCCCCAGTGGGCCTAGGCCTACCTCCATGAACTTAGTGGTAGTAATAGTAATCCTTAATTTAAATATCATTGCTAGTCATACTAACATAACAGTCTGTCACTGTTGGGCTATCTGTTCACATATTCAGGATGGCGTGACCAAAAAATATTCGTAACAGTCTTAATATTATATTTGAGCCCACTGTTGCTTTGATGTGTCACTCACTCGATTACCCCAGTCTTTAATGCACTTTAAAGTGATCACAATCTCTTTTTAATTTAGAATTATAGTAAAATCGCATCAATTGCTGCATGCTTCTGCCCTAAGTCGCCATATTAAGGCAATTGTTGACTTTTTGAAACTGTTGCGCTGTACTAGATCGTAAGACATTTCCTTGCTCTAGCATGTTCTTGTTCACACTAAAATGTGTTTGTCTGAGAACGAAACTCTCCCGTCCGCATTATTTTTCTTTTGCAGCGTCCGTGTTTCTGTAATGTATAAATACAGGATGTCCCAAAAATGTATTCACTCTTTGACAGGAATCTCAAAATCGAGCGTCCATCGGATTTTGAAGCGAGTCCATTGGAAAAGTTACATTGCAACATTACCCACGCTCTCACTAAAGATTATCCTGACCGGAGAACTGAGTTTTATCAATAGTACATGGAAAAACGTGAGGAAAATGCAGTGTTTCGAAACATAATTATCTGGAGCGATTAGGCCACATTTAAGTTAAATGGCACAATTAATCGACACAATTGCACCTACTTGGCTCCTCAAAATCCGCATGTCTTCAAATTCCAAATGAAATGCTTCGTACAGTTTGTGGTTCCGTCGATCCGCGTTATCAGCTCTGTCTGGATAATGATGGTCATCAGTTCGAACACTTGCGAAAACGCATAGTGCAGTAGACTTGTTTTCTTCAAGTTAAATCATTATATCTATTTTAAAGAACATTGCATTTGGTGTCATTAAAAAGGCGAGTACATTTTTGGGACACTCTGTATGTAATGTATAATTGACGTGAATTTAATGTCATTTTTAAATTAAAAAGAGATTGTGAACAGTTTTTAAGTTGCATTAAAGAGAGATGAATGAGTGGGTAAGAGTCTTAGATTTTCAGTTTTGTTGTGATGATATGAAAAGCCTGTTGGTACGTAGCAGTGAGAATGTTTGTTCTTTAAAAGTTACAACAGGAGAATCAGACGGAAGGAGAGAGCAACAGATTCGTTTGAAAGAGCTGTCTCTCTCTTAAAGTCACCCAAAACATCTAAATGGATTAAATACGATAGTGGAATTTAGCAAAGCGTGATAGGCTGGGCATATGACTAGGATGGAGGAGACAGGATATGCATGCATAAATTTGGTAAGGAAACATCTTGCGAAAGGCTATTCGGAATTAAGATGGAACTTAGGAGGATATATATGGATAAATACCGTCTTAAGTGCAACAAATTTTTTATTGTAGTTTTTACTTCTTTTTCCTCCTCCACACTACATGTTTCGGCCCTAAATGGCCATCATCAGGTGTGTATCACTCACGTAGCTGTTACACTGCTTGTTAAAATTTAAAATTACCAGTCTTTCTGATTGTATAAAATCTTTGTTAATCTACACGCGTCGATTTGATTTTTAAATTAGCACTTTTTAAAACTTAATTCAAGTTAAAATGTCTATAAGATCTCTGTTCTTTCTTTTTCAAATTTTTAGTTAAAATTTTTTTTCAGGGTACATGCCCTATATCTACGGTGCTGCAGCGTATTAAAGATAAGCAGCGACACACACAGAGAGCGCCTACACTGAACAACACATGAACAACGATAAAAACAAGAAGTGGCCGCTGCAGCACCGTAGATATAGGGCATGTACCCTGAAAAAATTTTAACTAAAAATTTGAAAAAGAAAGAACAGAGATCTTATAGACATTTTAACTTGAATTAAGTTTTAAAAAGTGCTAATTTAAAAATCAAATCGACGCGTGTAGATTAACAAAGATTTTATACAATTAGAAAGACTGGTAATTTTAAATTTTAACAAGCAGTGTAACAGCTACGTGAGTGATACACACCTGATGATGGCCATTTAGGGCCGAAACATGTAGTGTGGAGGAGGAAAAAGAAGTAAAAACTACAATAAAAAATTTGTTGCACTTAAGACGGTATTTATCCATATATATTGTGTGAGTGTAACAGGATGCTGAAATATAACATTAGGAGGATATGTTGTGAGGGGGCTGGAACAAGTTCAGTGGGTATTGTGTCCAGTGATGGGCTTTCATAAGAAACTTCCGTGTTCTCACAGAATATTAGTTTCCAGTGCCCATTACAGATATAAGAAGCAGTCCCAGAATTTTATACTCACTCACATAAATTTTAGCTCGTTGCTTCTTGCGATGTTAGTCGTTTTATTCTTTGTGAGGTACAGTGTTCGGTCTTTGGAGGGAGTCGGTTTTCCAGACTGAGGTATATGCTGAAATGGTCCTTGAAGACCAGTTCTACAGTTCTATAAATTTCCGTGTCATGAATAAACAATAATGTCAGCTTGACTTGTAAGGTTCTAAACATTAACCCTTATTGAATATGCGCATGTAGTTCAATGCTCATTAGCTTAGAAAGCTCCACAGTGGCAAACAGGAAATCTCAAGTGGCCCTGAACGATTATTATATGAGAGGGGGCACTTTGGGTGGCATCACAGACAAAACTTTCTGGCACGCATTAACGCTGTGAAAAGTTATGTCATGTGCAACAGGTGTCATGGCTATGTTATCACAATTTATGACGGTTATTCTTTATGTTATCCATTTTATTATTATTTTTAGTTTTAATGTTATGTGGGATGTAGTTCAATCACAAGGGTGGCAGTGTTCTGATCATGAAGTGCAAAGGAAAATATTTATACGGCAGTGTCTCACATTCTTCTTTCAGTTTCAAGTGTTATATGCCTAGCTGTACTCTTTAAATTAGCACCACTTCATGGTGCTGAGCCCTTCTTGAGAAGCCTTCAGTTGTGTAGCTACTCAAACATTTTCCAAAATTTTATGACACCTGAAGTTTCATTGTCGTGTTCACAGGAGCCTTCCACTGGTCCCTATCATGAGCCAGATCAATCCAGTCCATACCACCCTATCCTGTCTCTCTAAGTTCCAGTTTAATATTATCCACCCACCTATGTGGTAGGCTTCCTTGTGTTCTCTTTCCTTCTGGCTTTCCCACAAAAATATAATCTAAAAAATAAAAAACCTCTCATGTTAAAACATACTTTACAAACTGTGTTAATAATAGTGACATTGTGGTAATGAATACTGTTAAATGTACCTTGTTGGAAGCATACCAAGAAAGGAGGTTAGAAAGACTAGGCGCTGCTGTTTAAGTAAAATATTGAGGTCTCCTCGTGCATGAGGCTGCTCTGAAATACGTACAGTAGCTGTAGCCATCAGTATCCAAGTAGGCCAAGCAATGAACCTTCTACACATCTAAGTTTGAGAGTCCATTGAGTGTGAATGAGAAACCTGAAGTCTGCTGAGTCAGTTTAAGAGGGCAGTAATTAACTGTGTGTGTTTACAGAGCTGGTTAGCACTGCCCTGAAAGCCTGAAGAGCCCGAAAAATTAGTTACATACATAATTTGAAAGTTGTAGGTGAGGTTTAGGGGCTCGCGGTAGCGTAGTTGGTTGAGCCGGAAGGTCGCGGATTCAAGTCTCGATGAGGTCATTGGCTGTTTTTCAGTTGACCTAACCCTTCCAGCCGCACTATGGCCCTGGGATCGACTCAGCCTCTTACAGAAATGAGTACCAGAAATTAAATAATTTTCCTGGGGAGTAAAGCGCGGCCGGTGCGTAAGGCTGACAACCTTACCGCCAACTTTGAGCCGATTGTCTAGATAATGTGGGACCCTCAACGTCTCACAACCCTATGGGCCTTCACGGCCTGTTACAGCGATAGCTTTACTTTTACTTTTATTGCTAGTGGGGTGGGACTAAGTCCCTTGTAGTGCGGCCACTTCTGGCCTATTGTACCAGCCCCAGATGATAGGTGAGAGTGATCGTGGAGCAATTGGTGTAATGAAGATTGGCAGGGGAAACCGAATTACTCGGAGAAAACCTGCCCCAGCGCCACTTTGTCCACCACAAATCCCACTTGACCGGACCTGTGCCTTTATTTTTAAATAACAGACACAGAAACCTTCTTGTTTTACTAATAACGAAACTTGCTTGTCTAAAGGCGCGTCCACATTACTCGTGCTCGTGCTCGTCGGGAGACTCGTCTGGCTTT